TGTTGCTTACAGTACACACAGGGGAGTGTTTCTTATACTGCACTTCTTGGAAGCACTAATGGGCTTTTGGCTGGCAGAGAGTGTGAGTCACGTATAGCAAGCTACTATACTCACAGGTGTAGAGGGTTGAGTCAGTCAGACATTGCATCTGGATTGGTACACCTACCTCCACCAACACGCTGTGTGTGTGTCTCTCTCTGTGTGTGTATCAGTGTCTCAGAAAACAGTAAACCCAGATTAGCGATTAGCTATCATAGCACAGTGCAAGCCGTAGCTACTGAACTTGCGTTGCATACCCACTGGTGGTGGTTTTCCCTGACTCAACCGTAACGTAGTATGTCATAGTGAGTTTTGCTAATTGAAATTTGGCCAGGATACAAAAATGCTCTCTCAAAAGGAAACTCTGTCACACTATCCATGTTGGTTCTTGCTACATTGTGAGATATTTGGCTGGCAGCTACAATACAGAGTGTGTGTCAAGTACTTGCTGTAGGCTTCCGGTCCATTGTGGCACACACGAAGCTCTATGTCATCCGTGGTAGACTCAGGAAGGTTGAGAAGTAGACCATATGGATCGAATCCATCTGGGCTGGCATACTGAATTCCAAGATTCCCCCACACGCTCGACTGTACTGGAGTCCATGTGAGCTGAAAGTGGTACTGATGCATCCTCGGCTTTGCCCTCCACATATTGTCTTGCCAGAAGCAGTGACCTTTCTGAACCCTGCTGGACAGTTCTCATTGGGTTTAGTTAGTGGTGTGTATTGTAATGCCTATGGAGTTGGCACAGTGTGACATAATGCCCGAGGGTTGCACTCTATGGGTCTAGATGAGGAATTCCTTCCGGTATTACTCCTCCACCTACAAAATAGAAGTTGATGTCTTGATGCTGTGTAAAGCATGTTATTGAGGGATATGTACGTTGTATGTGTCTGAAAATGAGCGTGTAGGGATTACGTGGCGACCTGCTAATTGTTGCATGCAAAATACAGCTATGTAAAGGAAAGAAAGAACGTAGGCATACTTGAAGCACAAACTTTGGGCTTTGGGAAACTATTCAAGGTTGACACTACTATACAGCATAAGAAACAGTGTAGGTATATAGTAGTCTGTTGTTTGAATTCAGGGAGAGAAGGTATTTTACTTCATTCCTCCGATGGAGGAGAACCTCCTGCGCTATGAGCAGTGGGTCAAGTCCTCGAACCAGAGCGAGATCTTCTTCGGAGACAAAGTCCCCAAGTGCTACAAGTGCAACATCAGTGCTGGCAACACTCTCTTTATCCCCACTGGTGAGCGAGTCCAAGGTTTCATGCGGTCTGAAAAATCACGTGACGTGGTGGGGGAGTGGCCCCCAAAACTAGCAACTCTCAGCAAGGATCTTGCAAAGTGGAGAGCGACTTCTAAAATGATCCTAATGTCGGTGATGGTGAGCAAATAGGTAAAAGTGTAATCAACGTATGCATACGATAGCAATTGTCATTCATTAAAACAACACTTTATGAGAGCTGTAAATACTCACACCACTAATTATAGTATATATTCTGAGTTTCGAGTCACAAGTGGCCAGCTCACTGAACATAGAGCTCCACTATTTCAAAAGGTGTGTCTTCGTTAGTAACATCCGAATTCAGACAGAGACGTAGCTCAATGTCATCAGTAGTTGGTGTGGACAAGTTCTTACAGAACCACGGAGGAGAGTTGAAGGTACAGCAGGAGCCACTAACACAGCCAGCACCGTCCCAGAGTGGGTCGCTAGTAAAGTAGGTCTGTGGATTGCCTGTATCATGGTGTCCACTGTCACAAAAGTAATCATTGCCAACATATGGTGGTATAGTTCCACTGTAGGAAGCACCATTGCAGGGACAGCCATTTCGATTAGTTTTGTACTGACCATGTCCAGCAGCAAAAGTCCAGATGTGGTTACGTGGAGAGCCATGAGATAGGACTATGCCATCAACAAAGATAGTGTCAATAGATCTACCAGTTATACCAAATGCATCTGTAGTTGCGAATTGGTAGCCAATGATTTTCCCACACACTCGACTGTACTGGAGTCCATGTGAGCCGAAAGTGGTACTGATGCAGCGTGAACTCTGACCTCCACACATTGTCTTGCCGGAGGCAGTGACCTTTCTGAACCCTGCTGGACAGTTCTCATTGGGTCTAGTCATGTTGATATCGGCCACTCTCATCCACTCTCCTCCCCCCTCATCACACCCACACACCCTCTCCATATCACAGAACACCCTCACTGCATAGTCAGGGGAGCTCTGCAGCCAGTAGTAACCTGTGTTCATTTATTTCTGACAACTGGGTATGCTATGCTTTGAACCATTACCTGAAGTAGCTCCTGGGTCGCAATGTCTAATGTGGCTACAATTGTGTGCTGGGTCGACAAAGTCTTTATTAGTCTGCTGTCGAATTATAGTGTCTTCCAGTGACTCCAAACTTACATTAAGGTATGACTTTATATCATTAACACACTGTTGTTGAACTATAGTCTCTTCTAGTGACTCCAACCGTTTGTTAAGATATTCCTTTATATCATCATCTGTGGGATACATAAAAACTATCAATCTCTTAGCTATACACAATGTGTAGTTGCCAATCTTTCTTTGTGTTATTAATCATACCCTATATTTTACCTAAAGCCCAGCCTAGATCTAGTAGAGGTTCACGCATAGGGGACGACACAATCTTATGCAGGCATAAGTTCCTCCAGCAGATGCTGGTGACATGAGCAAAACACAACCTAGTTAGTGTAAAAAAACCTCAGTTTGTTTAAGACAGCTTACTGGTGTGAGTGATATTGAAAACAGTCGATACCAAGACTGTTTCTCCAGCCACCTTGCTTGCACTTTCACTAACTTGACCTTTGAGACAAAAAATCGGTTAAAGATCAACTGAATGCAGTTAACCTCTGGATTGCTACCGAGGGAGGAGCAGTGATCGTTGACAGTGTTCACAGTCATATTCTGCCAGTAAAGTAGCTGTGAGTGTAGCTTGTCAAATTTACTTTCCATCTCTGCCTTCACAGCAGCCAGCTCCGTCTGACTCACACACTCAGTTGCGCAATCAGTAGTTGAGTCATCACCATCTGCAGTAGTATGTACCTCCAAGTGTCTCTCTCTGTGTATTACCTCTCAGTCACTCACCTCCTGTGCCAACCACTGAAGTGGCTGAGAGCAGCAAAACCAGACCAGCTATTACTATCATCACAGTGCGACACAGTGAACTACGTAACATACAAACTGTAGTGCTTTTTCCTGATACAGAGTGTCATAGTGACTTTAATATTGGAAGCACGGAAGCATATTATTATTAAATTTGGCAAAGATACAGTGGTGCTGGGTTCTTTCCCTAAGAGAGGAATGTATTGTTTACAGTACACACGGGATTGCTTCTTATACTGCACTTCTTGGAAGTACTAATGGGGCTTTTGGCTGGCAGAGAGTGTGAGTCACGTATAGCAAGCTACTATACTCACAGGTGTAGAGGGTTGAGTCAGTCAGACATTGCATCTGGATTGGTACACCTACCTCCACCAACACGCTGTGTGTGTGTCTCTCTCTGTGTATTAATATCTCAGAAAACAGTAAACCCAGATTAGCGATTAGCTATCATAGCACAGTGCAAGCCGTAGCTACTGAACTTGCGTTGCATACCCACTGGTGGTGGTTTCCCTGACTCAACCGTAATGCAGTATGTTATAGTGAGTTTCACTAATTAAAATTTGGCCAGGATACAAAAATGCTCTCTCAACGGGAAACTCTGTGTCACACTATCCTACACACATGTTGGTTCTTGCTACATTGTGAGATTTGGTTGGCAGCTACTATACAGTACTTGCAGTAGGCAGCTCCTACACTCAGAAGTTCAGTCATTGCCGTATGCAGTGGTATAGCTGTTCCTCCACAAACATCTTGTGTGTGTGTGTGTCTCTGTGTGTATGTAGCTCAGCCAACTAATCTACCTAGTTGTGACAGTGACATGCTCTTGCTCAATTGTTACATCAACGTGGCCACAAGGCAAAGGCAAACAGTTCAACTATACCCAGAACAACTCTTTAAAAAATAAATAGCTGCCTTGGGTTGGATTGGAACCCATGACACTCAGCAGTGTAGGCAGAGTGCTCTTACCCACTGAGCTACCAGGGCAGCTCAGCAGGCAGGGGCTCAAATCTACAAGGCAAAGGCAACCCTCAACAGCTGTGCTATATATAGCACTGTGGTGGCATAGGCCATGGTATAGGCATCATTAAGTGAGACAGGGGCACATGCTCACTCATAAAACAAATGTAAGAGATAATTATTGTAACTCCTGATAGGTAATAAAAGTAGCATCATCAGCTGGTTGATCATATGAGACAACAAGGGAAAATATAACATGAACAGTCTGCTCAATACACAATTAATGTGATGGTAGTGTTGTTCCATCAATCACTTTAGATCGAGCTGTTACTATTCTTTCTGAGAGAGGCCATTGCATAGGCATCATTAAGTGAGACGTGGACATCAGTTGCCTTAGTAACGGCAGGAATCTCATCATAGATCTGGTCGCTCTCATTCTTGGAGCTCTTTGTTCCGAAGCTCCTCATTCTGATGATGAGCACACATTGGATCACGAGAGCTATGGTGAGACTGACAATCAGAAGGAGAGATACTGTTGACACAGCAATCACAGCTGAATCCTCTCCACAATTCTTCCTGTCTTCAGTAACTACAGGAGGTACAAGAGAGCCTATACATCAGCTATGTAGCTAGCTACCACAGCTATAGTTGCGCTATACATTCAGCCTTGACTGTACCTGAGTCATTGGAAGAGCTGCAGTAGTTTCGATAAATGTTGTCAACATTTACACTCTGCCAGTAGTGTAGCTGTGAGTATAGCTGGTCCACTCTCCTCTCCATCTCTGCCTTCACAGCAGCCAGCTCCTGCTGACTCACACACTCAGTAGAGTTAGCATCTGCAGTGGTCGCTACATAATACCTCCACCAACATCTTGTGTGTCTCTATCTGTGTAGCTATGTATCAGTGTCTCAGTCACTCACCTCCTGTGCCAACCACTGAGGTGGCTGAGAGCAGCAGAACCAGACCAGCTATCACACTGCGAGACATAGTCCAACTTCTTGCGTGGTGAGTTATGCAACTGGCACACACTTACCGTCTGTAGTACACCAGCATGCTTTCCCAAGAAACATTCGCATAGGCATTAGTACATGTGCCAAATATGTGGGTATTTCCACTGCATGAGGCTTCATTTGTCAGTAATATTCCTGACATATTCCTGGAGTTACTTTCCTGGACTGTTTCTCTGAAGTCTTTGCTCTGCTGATCTGGCCTATACATTCCTGACATTGTGCCTGTCATACCTCAAGCCATCCACAACTCACATTTTCCTGGGACATTCTGTAATGCGGTATGCTATACATAAGATGATGCTTGTGCACACTTTTAAAAAATACGTTTACGCTTTTGATATACACCTTGTCCAAGACTCACGTACATGTATATATTATAGCTAAACACAATCTTAACAGGCATCGAGAAGCAGTTATTTAGACGATTTCACCACCACATTCGCTATCTTGAAAAGCGCAGGCCTAGAAGTTTCGTAGTCTTGAGGGGGCTGGGGTGGCTGAGCTGTAGCAGCATAATCAGGTGGCACAACTTGTGCCAATAATTGTGGTTTCATTGGCTGTAGTCCCTGTATGTCACAGTGTTGAGAGATGCGTGGATGACCTATTCCACCTAGTGCTGGTTTCATTGGTCCCATTGTTCCCTCAGGTTGCATTGTTCTGCCGAATGTAGGTGTGATTGGTCCCCCAAGTTTCATTTTTCTCCCAGGTTGCATTGTTCCACCGAATGTAGTAGGTATAAAAACTAGTGTAGGATGCATTGCTCCAGCTCCACCCATTGCCTCCCCCACACTCCCTCTTGGCTTTGGAGTGGGTCTCTGAGAAGTGGTAGTGGGCGGGTCAGGTAGAGGGGTAATCAATTTGGCTGCTCCAGATGAGGTGGCTGGGTTGTAAGGCAATGACCCACTGGCAGAAGAGGCTGGCTCTGTGGTAGATGACACTGCTGGATGCTTTTTGTGTATCTTTCTGATTTCAACCACCACATAGTTGACAGTTTTCTCCTTCATCTCCAGCTTGAGAGGGCAGCTATAAGGGATGGATAATTACAGTTTACCTCATGATCATCTCAGATTCTAGCATGACGACAAGGAAACTCACTTCAATTGAGCCTTATCAAAGTCCTCCAGTTTGACTTCTCCTTTTAACCTTTTCTGGCGAGTAGCAGCACCAGTGTCCGGCTGATTCAAACCTAAACCCACACCACCCAACTGCAACCCTCCACCTCCAAACAACCCTCCACCTCCTGCCGGGGTTACAAGACCTCCACCAAATGGCACATGACCCAAGCCTGTCCTCCCGCCACTGTTGACATTCTGTCTTCCTTCTTCTTCTTTCCCTGCCTCCAACAGCCCCACACTCACACCGATGTCCACACTCTCAACATCCTGGTCCGAACACTCCAAACTGAACCTGCAGATGCATAGGATCAGTGATGAAGACAAGAACATGCGTATAGTTTAGCAGGGTATTCTAGGATTGCTTGTCCTGCTGTATGGATAGTCTCATAAGAAAAGAACTTTCACAAAGTGTTACTGAACCTTAGAGAACTTTGCCCCTCAAAAGCTAGTATATTATATCTTACTGTCAAGTGGTGTTTCACAGACCTTAGGAAGGAGATAGAGTAAGGCTGTCTGAAGTGAGCAATGGCTGTCTGTCTCTCCCCACCTCCCTCACTCCATGAAACACTCACGACACTACGCTCATACTGAGGTGCTGCATAGAGAGAAGAACCGCTATTGATGCACATTCTCACTTCACTCTGCTACACTATTAAGGCTGTGGTATTTTGCATGCAGGTTTTTTTTCAAGTAGAAGCCAAAGACAGATGTTTGTGGTATTGCAAAAGCTCCAACATTGCGTACACCTTTAAAGGACCAATGATTGTAGTTAGGCAAAATTACAACAGCTGTTTTTGCATTACTGTAAGTAGAGGCACAAGGGAGATGCTTATAATGAACTTGTCCTGTAAACATTTGCACAAGTTGCAAAAATCCACACTTAAAGGGTAGGTAAATCCTGACCGATGACTCCATTGGCCAGGAAGGAGAACGGTCTGGGGTCACTAGCAAAGCAGCAAGATGAAAACTGGAGAGGAAGCTGGCCGGATTTGTCCTCCTTCCACTTTAGCTCCATCTGCAGAAACCTAGTACACAATTAGCGCACAGTAAAACCCATTTCAGAAACACCTCCCAGGACTTTGTTCTTAACGTCAAAGTATAGACATATACATTTTAATTTTCGAGGTTAGTTAACTCTCTTACCTGGCAGCTTGCCGAGGGAAGAGTAGGTCCTGGGTCCCCCAACAGGCAAACGAGGAATAGTCGAAAAGCTTGAGCCACGACTGCTTGTCTCTGGAGATGCTGACTTCGTAGGAGAAACACTTGTTAGTCTGCTGCTCATCAGAAACACTTGGATAGCCCCTGTTATATATAAGTCATAAAGAATGGAAACCTCCACACAGTGATAACCATGAGCTCTTCTAAAAGAGAGCTGTCCTGGGTGTATGGTGTATTTGACTTGTTTGCTTGGCCTTTGCCGTTCTACCTTGCTGTTGACACATGCATAAAGTCACTTGATTGCTGAGGGTTTAAGACCATCAACATGTGCTCAAAGTCGTCCAAAGGACAAGAACTATTAATAATTATGTGCTACAGCACAAAGTATAGCACAAAGTATGTGATCGGTATGCTCACCTTTATGCTGAGGCAGTTTATGATGTACAGGTCGTCCAGTGCAATGATCATGGAGTATCTGTGTGGACCGTAGAAGACACCACCACCCTCCCCAAGCAATATGACCGTGTCGGCCACACAGCACTGTGGAGGAGGACCTTGAAAACGGTGCTGTTGTCGGCGAGTTGGTTGATGGGCAAATGCTGGGGGTGTGGTGGAGTCAAAGACAACCCTGGGTTTTGTGAAGAGGTTGTTGTTGCTTTCTGTTGGAGAGAAGGAGAGGGAAACCAAGAAGGAGAAAGAGGAGAGTGAGGAGAGGGGGAGAACACGCTGAGTACACTTTCCTATCACCGCATATTTCACCAAATGGAACATATATTTGATATGAGGTGTATGTTGTTGTTGAATAGCTACCTTTCTTTCCCCGTGGTCTCATCTCGGTCAAGCAGGGTTTGCAAATGGTCCTGATTCCAGCCAGGATCGTTTGAGAGTCCAGCAAACCAGTTGGCTCCACCTCCTTGAAGATCTGCTCCGGAGATGAAAACTCACTCAACCTGACGCACTCTAGCAGCTCTCTAATCTCCTTGACTTCCTTAGCGTTCCGCTTCTTCCATCGCTGGACGGCTCTAAGAATCTCGATTTCAGGAGCCACGAAAGTGTCGCGAGAGATGACGGCTGCCAGGGACTCCATCGGGAGGTGGAGGAGGGAGGGATGCTGCAGAACTTTGACCGAGTTCTCCTTATTCTCGATGAACGCCACACAGCTGCTGTGGAGCTGCTGGAGATGGTATATGTCGCTGTGGACTAGTAGGAGGAGGACGGTGTCCAGGGAGATGTAGTTCTGTGAGAGCTGGTCTCCCAGAGCCTCTTTGAGAGACACGAATCCAAATCTGTCTGCCACTGACGATACCTCCAGTATGCTCTGAGGTATATGTAAACAATAGCTCAGCAACCAATACAAGGGACCAGTTTGGGTCTTTAATAAAATAAAAAACAGTCCTGTACAACTTGTCCCGGGTGTAGTGATTTGTTTGTTGTGCCTTTGCCATTCTACCTCGTAGTTTTCACATGCATGATGGATTCTTGAGCATGGATATATAACTTCATGTGTTAGTATATACCAATTGTTGTATGGTAATGCTATCCAGTTGCTCTATAATTCACAGTATCTTCTACAAAAATATTATTTAAGGCTCCATTTCAATTCATACAGTGTACATACCTGGAGTGCCACATTCTCCATGTCCAGAGATCCAGTGTACGCAAACTGCAGAACCTTCCGGAAGGCAGGCACTGGGACATCCTTTAGCTCCACCTCATCCATGGCCGCCTCTCTCATGCTCCCGTAGAGCATGCTCTCGAAATACTGGGACTGAGACGCCAGTACTGCCTTGTGGGCCGGGACCACCTGCCCACTGACGAGAAAGTCCACGTCTGTGAACTTTTGTTCCTCCCAGATGTGGGCCAGAGCTGCATGGAGCTCTTGAGGCAGACTCACCGAAACTGTGGACACCACACATTTGACATTCACTATGACACTAGCTATTGTACATAGTTTGACACGGCAATTCTACACTGAGTCCTGCAAGTGCAGGAACATTTAGAGCGTGGATATAGCTATTGGAACTGCAGACTGTAAGTGGAATAACACTAAACAATTCAGTGTCACTATAAACTGGGATAGTTTCATAAACACCAAGTGTGCTCCAGAGTTTTCGGGCTAACCGAATAATGCCCCCCTCAAAGTTATTATACATATAGGCCCTGCAGTTCAGTAGCATTTTGTGGTGTTGTGAAGAATTAATTGATTTGAATCCATAAAGACACCTCTCTACGTAATCCCACACTAATGCTTATGAAGACGAAACAAAGGCCAATCGTGAATGTTTTCTCCATATATATCACTGTATTAATTATCAGTCCCAGTGTGCCCTTGACTTTTATAGAGTGGGTATATAAGGCAATTGGCGTTAACTCTGGACATGGGGCAAAACACCAGCCTCGAAATTATTCACTGTGCCAAAAAACGGGAGGAAGATTTGTTAGCGCTTTAATCAAGTGAAATATACATATGTGAATCTTTCTCTTGTTTTTGAATAGCGAGTTATGTCCGTGTATTACCCAGTGTCCGAAGTTACCCCCATTTACCTTACCTTTGAAAGTCTGGTCTGAGGAGGGAAGTTCTCTCTGCAGCGAGTCCTTGGCTGCCAGAGCTGTCTCGTTCACCGACTGCTCCTCTCCCACTGCCGCAGGGTCGACAGCTAGATCAAAGTCGAGTCTGCGAGCCAGTCTCGATGACTTCTCCCCTGATAGCTTTGCTCTCCAGTAGGCGTGCTGCTCCAGTACCAACTCAACATGGCCCCGCAGAGTACCCGCCACGTACATCAACTTCTCGAGGAGATGAACTCGCTCGTTGTACCCAGGATCGTTCCCTCCGTCGTTGAATCGCCCGTTCAAGACGTCTCGAAACTCGGGGAACTGTCGGCTGATCTGGTACATCCCGGGGAAATCTTGGTGGGTCTTCAAAACCTCCGATACTCGGTTTGCGATTTCCTCCAGGCGAGGTTGAAGACTGGCTAGCGTTGCTCCGAGCGCTCCTGCACCGGGCGAGCCTCTGCGAA